GGTGATTCTGAGGCCACCCTATCCCAGCCATATTATTCACATATCGAGTTCCAACAGCAACAGTGTAGGGATGAGCACGAAATACTGTAAATTAAATGCTGAATGGCGGTTCATGCAGGGAAAGAACATATCAATATTCGCATATTCATTCAAAAACATGAAAATTCTTAATGGAGTACCCTCATTTTTTTATTGAATTCCTAAAAAACAATATTTATAATGAATTTTAATAATTTTTTCGAATTTTTTTTAAGCTTTATTCTGATCGATTCACCCAATTCCCGATCCTGATCGCCGATTCGCCGATCCGGATAGGTTTTTTGGAAGCCCAATCCGGGTCACCGATCCGTTTTTTAAACCATTGGTATAAAGCATCCATCTTCATATTGAAGATGGAGCAAATAAATGGTCCATCAAAAAACAATTGAAACTAACAGTCCAAATGTTTTATTAATAGTATTTTTATTTTTTATTTTCAAAATTTATTTATTTTTTCATTCTCATGATCTCTTTGTGGTAGATTATATGTCCTAAAAAAATTACATCCAAAAGTCCATCTCAAAAATAGATTTTGTAGAGATGAGTAATTTCTACATGGAGTCATAGAAACCGAGTCCTTATGTAGATGAATTGATATTGGGTAGACCCCATGCTTGCTAATAATAAATAAAAGTTAAATATCTACATACCCCTATTTTTGTTACCTATTTCTTAAGAGACTCACCGATTTAAACTATTTGTCAGACCATAAAGTCTCTATATTTTCTGTTTTTCAACCTCCTAAACCCTTTGACCATGTATTATTTACCTCAACAACTTATGAAATGACTTGTTGTCTTTAAAATCTAGCTTCTATTTAATCCTGTTAACCTATGCCATCTTTCTCTCTAAACTCAATATCTCCTTTCTCTCTCTAAACGGCATAGTTTTTTAGACAAATTATGGAAAGATAATGGGGATTTGGTCTGAATTTTGATATTTTAGTACAATTTTTTAGTCAAAAAAATATTAAAAAAATCCTAAAATTGCATGGTTAGTTATGCATTTAATACAAACTACTCAAGCAATTTCAAGCTCAATCATAAAAAAAGTTGTCACACCCCTCTAATCCAATTGTGTAGACATAAAACGATTATTTCATGAAAATTATTGTCATACAGTTTAGTAGAGACTTACAATAATATATCATTTTCATAAGTGTGTGGTTTGTGTGTGGTTGTAATATTAAACAATCCAATTAAGGCGCATCTCCGAATTTTATCATAATATGTAATTTTAGTGTAAAAATTTTTTAGGATTATTTAAAAATCTATTTTCACATCTAATTATAAAATTTTAAACTTAAAAAATGGTTAACATCATGTAGATCTATAAATGCATGAAAATCTTGAAAACGGACTGTTCAGAAAATGTGTTGCAAGATACACTATTTCTCGGACTCAAATTTTTTTTTTTTTTATATTCATGCATTTCGATATCTAGATGATCAATTAAAGGGTTTTTCTACATTAAAACAATCGTTTCCAATAGATTTTTGAGGTGCATCTTTATTGCTACATTTTAAGGTTTGCAACCTTATATAAACTTTTTCCCTTTCATAAATGAGTCACTTTAAAAGATTTTTCAACACTAAAATTGTATCTCATATCAAAGTTTGGAGGTGCAACTTCCTTTGATTGTTTAATGTTGGAAGCTTATGGAAACCACGCCCTAAGTAATTTTGATTAGTGATGAGTTCTAAAATCAAAAGTAATATTGCCAACGTTTTAGGAGTTCACAGCACAACAAAACAATCACCTCCTTTGAATGAACGGAAGTTACGTATCAAAAGTAGTGTCATTTGTTACGAAAACTAATGCCAAATACGCTTTTCTTTGACAATTAGAATCCATTAAGTACCAAAGTAGTGCTCCCAGTCATACAAACACAAACGGTTAAGCTTTCTATGCTTCTTCTATTGCATAAAACTTCTATACTTATCTCTATTCAACCGTCTATTGTGAATGGACAGCTGAGATGGCTCCAATCATAATGTCATGTTTTTATACTATTTTATTTTTTAATTGTTTCTACAAACTATTTTGACATCAAATTTTGGACATCCACTCCTCTCTTAAACTCGCACTTGAGAAAAATATTAAAAAAATATTTCTAATAAACTAAAATGGACTAAAATGCTCTTGAAAGTTTCAAGGGTATTTTGATAATTATATGTTACCAAAAAAACAATTTAAATATTTTTTTTAAGTATGCCCATTGAGATGATGATATGTACGAAATTTCATATTCATATAATTTGTAGAAAAATAAAAATAAAATACTTTGAAGGGTCGGATATAGATCAAACGGTGAGTTGCTCACTAGATCTAAGTTGGATGGCAGAATACAAGGAAGTATATATCTTCTATACACTAGAGGAAATATAGAAACCTTTCTCAACACAAAACCTAACAAATAAATCTACGGACCATTCTTTCATAGTTTATATAATCATAATAATAATAATAATAATATCCAATAAAATTGGTGAATTTTAAAAATAAACAATTTCATTTTGTATTGTACTAAAGAACTCCAAACATTTTAGTCTTTGTTCAGTATTTCGACCAATTCAATTTGAAAACCAATTTAGTATAATGGGCAATGAAAAAGAGGAAAATCATCTTAAACCGACTGCCTAAAATGGGTTCAAGGCGCTTATTTATTCAAGTTTGCAACAATAGAGTTCTGCAGTTTGAAACCATTTTATTACTAAAAGCCATTTTATTTACCAAAAGCAAAAATAATTATATGAGAATGACCAAATAAGTCAGCCCCACTAATCGTTTTTGCGGGTGGGAGCTACAAGAGAGAGAGATTACCAACCTCTGGCCTAAAAGTGTCAACGGGCAGGGCCTGCTTTGGCACTGGCCCAACCCTTGTCCCTGTCGGGCTCGCCCAAGCCTGGCATGGCCCTATATGGCTAAGGTTAGGCTGGGCAGGGTCAAAAACCAAAGGAGAAAAGAGGTGGGCCGGGGGTCCAACCAGGCTGAGACGGCCAGGTTTCCCGTCCATAGACAGCATCACTGGCCATAAAAGATGTGGGAATGATCTACATACATCATCCTAAATTTTTTCTTAAACTACGAAATGCTTCATGTGGAAATTATAAAATAGATCGGTTAATGTTTTTTTTTTCAAAATTATTTCTCAGTTCGGGGACATCTTTAAAATATTTTTTATTTGTTAATAAGGCACTGCCCTAAAAAGCTTGAGGCAATCGTCCTACTAACGAAAAAAACTAAAAAATAAATAAATAAAATTCGAACCGAGCATTTCATTCTCAAATCAAGGGGCAAGTTTGAAAACAAAAAAAAAAGTTCACCGAAATTCTAACTAAACAATTTAGGATCGATACGTAAATCACCATGAATTGCGCTCTCGAGCTGTGCAAAAATGCGGACTCCCACTCGAGAGCGTGCAGACTCGATCTCCCCACACAGGTCGGTGCAACAGAGGCCACTGGCTATACATCCCTGAGGGTCTCATAAATGTCAAGAAACTTGAACAGTTTCTCTGTAGATCGCTTGCTCATCGCAACAGCTTCTGCAAAATTGAGAAGCTGGATCACCACACCTTTGGCCAGGTTTTGGAATAGAGAATCAACTGTTGCATCTTTTCCAAACACCTCTTCACAGAGCCTCTGCTTTGATGGAAAGTACACGATAGCGATTCGGCGAAAAGCGTTCATCCATTTCCTGATCTCGATCTCCAGTGTCTCCCATTGCATCTTCTGCACCTCTTCTGTACTGATTCGCTCAAACCCTAATTTTGTGAGACTATCTTCGAACAGGTTCCGTCCTTCTATGCTAAACACTTGTAAACACTCAGTCTCATAACCCGCTTTGATTATTATTCTGAAAATCCTTGCTATCAAAGCAAAATTTTCCTGTGAGTATGCATCGAAAACAGCAGGAATATGATCAGAAAAATGTTTTTGATCAATGGAATCTCTCTGTTTTTCATCACTGGAATCTTGAATCTCTCTGTTTTTCATCACTGGAATCTTTCTCAGACTTCGCTGGAGAATCATTTTCCGTTGGATGAGGAATGACACAACGATCATGATCGGACTCAAAATCATTAAAATCTTCAAAAAGTGAACGGAGCTCTTCCTCCAAGAATGCCATTGATTGTTGGAGGACAACGGCAAGTTTCTGATGCTCAGGGAGAGCCTAAGAAAGTCGCCATAACAGATCAACCAAATCAAGGAATTCCCCCGAATCAGAGCCGGGAAACCAATTTAACCGATGGCCAGACTCTCATTTCGAAATCTTCCCGCAGAGTTTCTCACTGAAACTTTCAACACATTCTGGTGGGTCTGGTTTCTGGTCTTTTCCTGCTATAGAATCCAAGAAACTTTGAAGATCAGAGGTGAAGCAGCTGAGATCGTCACCATGGGTGGTTTCAGGGGTGGACGAAACGGCAGGAATTTGGTCAGAATCCTGGTTATGTCGGTTTTTAGGCGTCTCCGACATGATTTCTGGTTTTTCTCGGTCATTTTTGCGAGGGAAGCTGCAGGTAAGGGAAAGGGTTCTCTGAGGGACATTTTCCATTTGGATTTACAGTGGTGGCCAGGCCAGGCCAGGCCAGGCCATGCAGAGAGAGAGAAAGGAAGAGAGAGAAAGAGAGGCGTAGGAGGGTCTTAGGAGAGAGAGAGAGCAGGGAGAATGGAGGAGAGAGAAAGTTTGTTGACTCCGATTGGGGTGCACGATCCAGAAGTGGGCAGCCACAACTAACTTGGGAATCTCTCCCCTGTCCAACCTACATCTATCATTTCCTGTCTTACTCTCTCTAAAAAAAACTCACGCTCTTTAAAAATTCAATATATCTTGTTTTCTAAAAACTCAATTTCTTTCTCTCATAAGTTGTTAATTCTCTTTAAAAATCCAATTTCTCTCTCTAAAAAGCTCAATCTCTCATTCTTTCTAAAAACTCAGTTCTCTTTTCTAAAAACTCAGTTCTCTTTATTGATTAACCGGATCGCTTTAAAAACTCAGTCTCTCTCTCTATCTAGTAACCCGATCTCTTTACAAATCCAATTTCTTTTATTACATCTAAAACCATATTCTCTCTCTAAAAACCTAATCTCTCCCTCTCAAATCCAATTTCTTTTACTATATCTAAAACAACATTCTCTCTCTAAAAACCTACCTCTCAAAACTCATGATCTGTATCTCTATCTAGTAACCCGATCTCTTTACAAATCCAATTTCTTTTGTTATATCTAAAACCACTTTCTCTCTCTAAAAACGTAATCTCTCCCTCTTAAATCCAATTTCTTTTTCTATATCTAAAACCCCATTCTCTATCTAAAAACCTAATTTCTCCCTCTCAAAACTCATGATCAGTCTTGAAACCCAATCTTTCATTCTCTCTAAAAAAAACCTAATCCGTCTTTCTCTATCTAAAAATTCATTCTCTCTATCCTTGCTAGCCCACCACCCCTTACCCCTCACTTTCTTCAGAAATCTATCCCTACCATTGTTTGCAAAATCGCTCAATCCAACCGCTAACCGCCAGGTTAGATCTCTGGTTTTTGGCAGTTAGGGTGATCAACCGTTTTTTTTTTTTTTAAAAAGTACATATAAATTCTCAAAAATAAGGAATTTGACTTGTAATATATTTTTAAATATTCTTTACATTATGGTAAAGATTAAAAATTGTTTTGGCCATTAATACTCACTTTTATAATTTCCAATCTTTTTTTAGACAAATTTAAAAATAGCCCTTGGAAAATATAAAATGGGTTAAAATCAATTTTTCCCATTAATTTTCAAATTTATGTGAATGTTTTTTGTTTTAATCATTCATTATATGTTTTTTATATTTTAGTAGATTTTCTTTTTTATATTTTATTTTTTATTTTTTTCAACACTTTTTTGACTGTCCGAGACTTGTCCAATTAGAGCACTCGAATTGGCCGGTTTACCAATTAAGCTGGTTAAACCACTTCCAAGGCAATGTCAAGATTTTACAACACACTAATCTCTACTTTAATCTCATTCTCTAGAATTCTATCTCTACTTTAATCTTGTTCTATCCGATCCTTCTCTTTCTATCTTTAGCAAGTCTTCCTCATATTCCTTGCCTTTGTCCAATTTTTCACGTAAAAAAAAATATTCCAATTTTCATTCCAATGTTTATGAGAGAAATATACATATAGTGTGTGTCAACAATCTCTTTCTTTTAAGATAAGGAATTAGAACTTGAGATATATCATCCATTCAGGGCCTGTAAGCTTCTTCTCAAAAAGTGATTTCATCACATGTGAATCCCCTCAAGCACTAAGATGGATATGAAAAGGTGGTTGTCCCTACAAATCAAGCATCCAAAAAAATCCATAAAAAAGTATTAGTTTCTATTTGTATTTTTTTAATATATTCATGTTCATCTGACGACCCCAATAATTGGAATGAGTTAGATGAAGATGTTGATCCATGTTCACCGTGGTCTAGATTGTCGACCTATAAAATTTTTGGATCCAAAATCCATCTGTCTTTAAGACGGATTTTAGAGGGAGGACTCATATAAATAGTTGAGTCGGCCTACTCATAACAACGATGTCCATATATTTATCACTCAGTGACGAATTACAGTACCCTGGATCATATGTTAAATTTCATGAACTAATGAAGAATCATTTCTATAGACCACCTCCCATTTTTTAAAAGATCAATTTGTCCTGTCCCTTTATATCAACGCTTTTTAAATTCTTAAAAATTAATAACAAATGGCTATCTATATTATTCTTTAAGAATATGGGGCTAATTGGGCTTCTCATTTGAGGGGTTTCAAGAATATGACCCCATCTCTCTCATCCTCTGCAAAACTCTCACCTCTCTCTCTCTAAGCCAATTTGACGCTGCTCTCTTACCTCTCTCTCTGACATATTTACAGGTAATGTCAACTTTAATCTGCAATTTCAACTGCGAATTTCTTTTATATATATTTTTCTGCCATTTCTCTGCTATTTTCATGGCCTTCCAAAACCTTGGATTCTAGTGTTTTGGGTTCTCAAGGTTTTGGATTTCTAGTGTTTTGCAATTGAGGGTTTCTTCTTAGGTATGCCGACATTTTCAGAGACAACAAGTGCTTTTAGAAATAGGTTCAGGTTTCAGGAAGCGCCTGGGACCTCATCAGAGGTGGAAAGTTCACCTGCTTTGGCGAAATCGGCGTCAAAAGAGTCGCCAGATCAATCTATTTGTAGCATTAGATATAGGGTTCAGAGTTTTTGAAATACATGAAGATCCATCTTCTGGAAAGACCACAATGTTAAGGTCCTTGTTTAGTTTGATTATTTATTTCTTTTTTTTTTCCTTATTTTGTATTCTTGTTTTTCAGTGTGTTCAAGTTGATGCAAATTTCTCTTATGTGTTCAACTTTGTTTGGCATGATTATGAGAAATCATTGAACCATTTGGAGGCACTGGGAAATTCTTTTATGTTGATTAGAGTTTGAGAATCAATGGTAATTTGATTTTGGTTTCGATTTTTTGATTGATTTAATTTGGATTTAACAAAGCGAATGGTTTATCTCAATATTTTTGCCACACCAACAAATTGGCAATTGTTGGCTAGCACTGTGTAAAATCTCTTCTTTCTCTCTTTTTTTTTTTTTTCACTTGGGGTTGAAGCATCTCTTCGATTATCTGAATATCTCAATCTTTCATTTTGGATTCATTTTAATACTTTTTGCAACACCAACAAATTAGAATTATTGACTAGCACCACTAAATTCATTTTTCCTTTCTTTTCTTTTCATTTTGTAGTTTAAGTATCTTTATGATTGTCAACAATAGAACTAAAGGTTATATGATGGAGAAGTAAATACTAATTTATATCTCATTGAATTCTAAGAGTTTCTCTTATGAATGTGTTTGTATCGATGGATTTTTACTATTTGGTGCTGGAAGGAACTTTTTGATGCCTTGGAGGTATGTGCATGAATATTGCGCATGGGGTCCATGACCAAATAATTAATGACTATGCAAGATTAATTTTTTGATACATGGGAACCTTTTGACCGGGAACTTTTTTGATGCATTTTTTTGTTCCATAGAATACATATACTTTTGCGGTTACATAAGGGTGTGAACTTTTCCAATGCATGGGAGTCGTACTTACTTGAGGCATGCAAGTTATATATATATATATACATATATATATATATATATATATATATATAAAAAGAGAGAGTTGTGAGATTATACTTTTATTTTTGGGTCTGCAAGAGAATCCACTTCAACATCTTTTCATAAGATCAAATTTTTTATTTATTTTTCTATCAAATAAAGGACATATTCTCTTTAAATAGCCTCTCTCTCCCTATGATTTCTCTCTCCATCTACCGCTCTAAACCTCAAGTAAACGTCACAATTTTAAGAAGCCCCCACCCATCTCAAATGCATTTCAATCCCTTCTTTTTTCTAACCTTTTATGAAGTTTATCAACCCAATAAGAGATAAAAACCTCTTACATAACAATCTCTCATAAGTAACTCTCATACAAAATTTATTATTCTACTCTTAAATCTATATAACTAAAGAAGACGAGAACAACCCTAAAGAACACTAAGAGCTTAAATAATATTTTTTAAAAAATACTTTAAAAACATAAAATTAAAAAATTGAAAAAAATCCTAATTTTTATTTGCATCAAATAAAAGGAGCTGTCATTATTGCGTAGTGATCCTATAAAGATTTAAGTACGTATTATATTGGGGATAAATTATATTTTAAAGGAAAAAAATTATAAAATGTTGCATCTTAAAATGTAGAATTCAAGTGCATCTCAAAAATCCATCTTAGAAGGTTGTTTCGATGTGGAAAACCCTCTAAAAATTGATTATCTTGACATCAAGATGTGTGAATATGAAAAGAAAAAAAAAAAGAGTCTTAAAAATAGTGGGTTTTGTAACAAATTATCTAGACAGTGCATTTTTAAGATTTTCAAGTGTTTATATATCTATTGATTTGAACCTTTTTTGGAGTTTAAAATTTTTATATTTAAAGATTAAAATAGATTCTTAAGTCATCCTAAGAATTTTTTATACTAAAATTATATTTATGATAAAATCTAAAGATGTGCCTTACTTGTTTAAGGTTACAACCTTATCCAAACCACATCCTATCTTAAATCCCTCACTTTAAATTTAAAAATGCTTATTTCAAACAAAAAAATTACAACTCATAATTTAGAGTCAAGAAAGTCTGAACCTACTTTTAAGGTCTTCCTTGATATTCACCAGCAGTTCTGGGTTGGTGGGTCAAGCTGGGCCGTGCAACTGCGCATTTGGGTTTCTTTAATTATATGTAATAGTGTTTTAGAACTCGAAATTGGGTTTTGGATATTCCACCCAATTTATCCATGTCAAAATCAATAGGATTGGTTCAAAAATTGTAATAATAATAATTACAACAATAATAAAAACAATAATCACCATTATCATCATTCAAGCTTGATCCCAATTATTTTGTATCTGTTACATGAATCTTGTTTCTTATTCTTCTGTATCAAAAATTTTATACAACATTAAGTGATTTTATGGCAAAATTTTAGGGGGGAAAAGAGTCAAGATTACATATACAAAATTGGCATCCTACATTTACTACTAGATTGGGTTTTACATGGGGAAATAAACAGACAGTATGCTCCCTGAGCATAATATCTTTTTTATTATTAGATTTATAGAAGTTAATAACCACTACGTGTAATGGGACTCATCCTTTAATACCTTTTCAATATAAAAAATAAGAAAGTAGACGACTTACACGTAGAGATTGAGAGACAGAGCATAATAAAGACCACCTAAGCCACAATGCCCATTGATGAAAAAAACCTAGAGAGAGAGATAACACACTTCTAATCCATAGAGAGAGAACAAATACTTCATTAATCCTATAAAAACTCGAGAAATAAAAACTCGAGAATGGGCTGACAATTCTAGAATGGGTTGGGGCCTTAGTGGTAGTTCCAATAAGCTTTATGATGAAGCTTCGGACTCTATTTTTATTAAAAGAGTACGAGCCCAAATTCTCACTAACTTTTATATTTATTTATTTATTTATTTTTAATTTGAAAAAATCTAAAGAGAGGATAATACACTACTAATCCTTAAAGAGAAAACAAACACACCACTGATCCTAAAAAATCGCCTAACATTCCCCATATCATATCTAGAGAGAGAACAGAGTAGAGAGAGCCACATCAAGTATCTTATCCTCCACAGGATTACCATAGTACCCCGCAGCTGGTGGTGCAGCCCGAAAATTACCATACTACCCTGCAGCTGGTGGTGCCGCCCCTCCATAATTACCATAATACCCTCTACCATAATAACCCCCTGTCGGAGGGGCATAAACTAGCGGCGCTGGAGACGCACCATAAGCGTACCTGCTGTACAATTGAGGTGCAGGGTGGACGATAGAGTCATAAGGCTTTGGGACTGGTTTCGGACCATACCCCGTATGCGAATTACAATTTCGACCTGAACTATTATTTATTTTGTTTATCATACTATGAGTGTCAAGACAAGATCCGAACTGTCTAATTTCTCCCTCAGATAAATGACTTCGCCTTGCTGCTGTTGTTTGTTGTTTTTGTATTATTATTATTATTATTATTATTATTATTATTATTATTATTATTTATTTTGTTTATCATACTATGAGTGTCAAGAAAATATCTGAACTGTTTAATTTCTCCCTCAGATAAGTGACTTAAGAACTCCTAATTTCAATGAAAAAATTTCCTAATTGCTCTCTATATGTTTTTGAAAAAAATAACGTTGTAAGATTGAACATAAATTGTTCAATTTGAATCGTAAACTCTAAGTGTTAAAAAACTCAAAATTCAATTTTTTATTTTTTTTATTTAATAATAATCATTTAGTGATTCTTATGTGATTCTCAAATTTTGAGATTGAAAAAGATCCTCCTAAGCACGTCTTCTAACTGATGGAGTAGGTGTACAATATTGCTCCCATGGAGCATAGTTAACTGATGGGAGTAGGTGTACAATATTGCTCCCATGGAGCATAGTTTACAGGCTCATAATTCTTCTGGAAAAGATTCTAGCCCGCCCTCAAGCAAAAGTGAGAACAGTTTGACATAGTTGGTGCCAGGAGAGGGCAAAATACTCATATACAAGAGGCCAGTCACTACACATGGGAATAGATGCACAATATGCTCCTGCAGGAGCATAGTATACAGTTTATAATTCTTTTGGAGAAACTTTACCCCTCCTCCCTAGAGAAAACAACGGCTCAATATTGTTGGTTCCATACGTTTGACGAAGAGGGCAAAATACTGCTTACGCAAGCGGCTAGTCAATACACATGCATTATCAACTGCCCATATGTACAATGAACGGTGGATGCAAATAAAAGTATGTAAACAGAGTTGGATCATTAGATTGGTTGATCTCTAGTATCATATATTGAATGGACGGCAGATGCACCTTCACTCTACTTTGCATGCATCAATTGAGCATAACGCAGGAATGGGCACAAGGCTAGGTGGTTAGGGTGGTGGGTTGCCATCACAACATAACTTCTTGAGTAGAGGTGGCAATGGACCAGGAAACCCGATGGGTAGGAAGTTCTTTATGTTTGTCTATCTTGATTTTAGTTCATCTTTAGATCTACTTACCTTAGTTTTAAAAGTGTTTTTGGCAAGAAAATCAGCTGGCACTGCAGCAATACGTGGAGGAAACTAATCTATCAAGATAGACTTTTCTTCAACAGATTGTAATTTGACTGGCCCTCCAATATCCACTAATTTTCATAATTTAATTAGTTTGAAGCTCAGATTAAAGAGGATCTCTCCATAAGAAACTCTCTCGAGTTTGGCTGTAAACAAGCTTCATTGGTATGCAGTGATCATATAAAACTCTGGTCGCACATCTTCTCTTCGCCCATCCAGCTCTAGTTCTATGTATGACGTCTTCTTCAATCTCTCTGTTTTCCTAGATAATAGACCCAAGATATCGAAAATATACTCTTTTTGGTATTTTTTGCGTGTCAATCTTGACTAGTTTCATAAACAAGCTAGTGGGTTTGGTTTGATTATCACGTTTACATTTAAACCAAGCATATATAAGTGGACGGACTGCCTTTTAATTCAAGAAAAAGAAGTGTTTAGACAAATTCACATTTCTACTTATGAACAAGCCGCCGACATTCTTTGTTTATATTGATAAATAGACTCTTTTTTTTTCTTCTTTGTTGAAATGGAGATAAATAGACTCTTTAAAAGGCATACGCAAGGAGGTATGGTTACGAGAAGGGAAGAGATAACCAAAAAAGCAAGTTTTGAATGAAGTGAGACAGCGAGACAGAAAGAGACTAGTATAAGGTAATTGTCCTGTCCAAGATCCTAA